TGTCGGGTGTGGGTGTGTCGGGTGTGGGTGTGTCGGGTGTGGGTGTGAGTGTAGCTAGTAAGAAGATTCACACCCCACACCCACACCCACACCCCAAAACATTCAGGATATTTCCAAAGTCATTAGATATTATCTATCAGCTGAATTTCAAGTCGAAGATTCAGTAAAATGATCATAGTTCGTCTCCTGAAACTTCTTGGCACGAGCGTTTTTTAGAAATTTTATAGTGTTATCAAAACTTCATGATGGTTTCAATATGAATTTAAACGACAAATTGCAGTTGGGATAATGACTAGACATCGGCGTGACCAACATTTTTTGGTCATGGTCACGTCACAGTCACGATCAGTTTGGTCACGGTTACGGTCACGGTCACGATCGTTGCCATCGTGACCGTGAGTCACGGTAGCCACGCCAGTTTCTATACGAACGACTATTTTCTTTTTTCTCAAAATAGCATAACCTTCTCTTCCGATAGGGGAACTCTATATTAGAAGGCTTTCCATAATAGAAGATCCCCTTGGAGAAATACGTGCGAGACTTAGTATAAGACTTTATTCAATTATCGAATTTTTCGAAAAATGACAACTTCAACCACTGGATTTACATCATAATATGCTTTGTTTTCAGAGTTTTCAGCTGAAAAATTTAACTAAGTGTTTTCAACATTTGATTTAGGCTGTTAAAATCCGAAAAATTCCTTCTCAAAGCATCAAAATCGCTTTGGCTTTCTGAACAATTTTTTTAGTTGCAAACTGTAAAAAGAAAAGAGACATTACCCAAGACCCTCTGGAAAACTTTTGGGATTAGACACAATAGGAAACCTAGGATCTCCTCGTGTGGAGAGGCAAAAGATAATATGACAGATAAACGAAAAAGATTAAGTATGAAAAAAATTGATGAATTTGTTTTTGAGAAAATTTATTAAAGTTCTTGAAAGTGTATCTGGCCAAAACCTGAATAGAAATGGGTGAAATCAGAACAAGTAGAGAAATGATCAATCGTCGAATAAGTTATCAGATAAAAGTAAAAAAAGTCGAAAGTATATGAAAATGACAAATCTTGTTCAAGGAGGTCATAATATTTTTTAATGGTACACTTTTTTTCTAAAATATTTCTATGCGAACAGTTTAAAATATATTAACACTGAGTACATTTTTTCTGGTATCGCGATTGTATTGATTCTATTCCTTCGTTTTAAGTTAGTATAATTAGAAAAGGATATTGATACATATTGAAAGAATACTAAATATAATATTTAATTCTCTAATAAAGTTTGAAAATAACTGCTTTATAGTTACATTGAAAATTTATCGTGACTGGTCGTGACCAGGTTTTGGTCACGGCCACGACTTTTTTTCGAAAAATGGTCACGATCGTGACGGTGACCGTGACTCACGGGAGTCACGGCGGTCACGCCGATGTCTAATAATGACTTCATAATTATTTCATTTCGTCACTGATTTATTAAGTCTTGTTTTCTATCCGATATATATTTTACGATTTCTCATTATACTAATTGCCTTTTTTTAATTTTTTTCAAAGATTTCTCCTAATAAAAGTAGTTTATGTTTTGTTGTATTTGTTTTATTAGATTCATTATTATTTGACGTTGTTGTTTTCATTAACTGTTGATTCTTTTTTTTATAAAATTAACTTTTATGGCATATTTTTAAATCATAAGATGATGATGTACTTTCAATCATTATTTATCTGAAATTTAAAAAAATCTATGTATTCGTATACAAATCTTCACTTGGCCTTATGAAATATCAAACAGATTAAGTTACTTGGCTCGTATAATTGCAAGTCCTTCAATCACTCCTTATCGTATGGCATATTATTCATTTAATTCATAATTCTGACCGTATGAAGCTGTATACAGTATTTTATTTGAAAGATCTTTTTTTAGAATTTTGTTCAATAAGATTATATGGTAAAAATTCTTGATCAATCCATAAATGATTATTATTTTGATTTGTCTAATTTGTAAAATAAGAATTTCCATGTAGAAAGAAATCAATCTTTTTCATTTCCTCTTTGCTTAATAGAAAAATTAAATTATTATTAATATTTGAAATAAAATTTGTTATGTCAGGATAAAGTTCACAAATATATGTTATTTCATCATACGGAGAAAATAATGTTGCTTAAATCATATTGAATTGTTAACATTGATATTATTCACTTAATACTTCAAGACTAGTATGATGTGTTGAACAGGTTGTTATGAATGGGTAAGGACGAAGAAAACGACGTCAATGAATATCAGATGATAACTTATAGTGTGAAATGTAACACATGAGAAAGAAATTTAAATCTTATTGAGTAAAAATAGAAAATAAGAATTATACTAATTACGAGGAAGATCTGTCGTAATGAAACTATAACTAATAACTTTGGCAACATATGTCAACTAATAGAAATTATGGATAAGAATTCAATGCTAGTGCATGTTTTAGTTTTGGTTATTAGAATTTTATTTAGCTAATACTTTTAATGTAGCTTCGAAAAACTAGAAATGTCAAAAGGGAGAAACGAAGAGATTTTAATGAGCTGTATTGCATTGAAAGAACCTCTGAATACGTGAGAATTCTTTTGCGAATCAATACATATTTGATAAATTTATTCAAATTGCTACATCTCATTATGTATTGAATGATGCAAGCCAAATGATATTCTTGCAAGAGTTTACATTAAATATTGATAATACATATTTGAAAATGTCTTTACACATATTCAATCGAAAGCATACAACTCATGGCTGGAGGTTGAGTGACTCAGTGAGATTTATTTATTATGAAGATATATCTAGTATGTGTGAATGAAGATAAGAGTCTCAGCTATATTCACAACTTATATCAAGTACTTCCTTTTTCTTCATTTGCATAATTGTGAGCTAACTTGTCATCAAAGCTAATATTCAAATCAAGCAAAGAAAACATATGTGAATTGTTAACAGGAATAAAATGAATTTTCTAATCGAGCCCAATGAAAAAAAATATATACTTCATTTCTATATTCTTTTTATATACATGATTTGTTATATGAAAAGGATAAAGAAAAACTTGAACAATTTCAAATTCATGAGTAAATGATATTGAATAAAGTCTGAATTCACGCTTCTTTTGTTGGATGGCAATTAATGAAATTTGGATTTGTACACAACAGTATGATTACAGTTGAAACTTACAAGGAAACTTGTTCAGTTGCTTTTCTATTAAAACTGGACTAAACAATTTAGAATTTGTAAAATATGTCCATTTTTAGAGATTACGTGTTTTCAGAAAAGTCATCTTTTCGAGATTTGATCTGAAATTTTTGTGGACACAAAGAATTCGACTAGAGAGAGTTTCAAAAACCTAGATCCTCTAGAAAAAATTCTTTTAGAGTTTTTTTTAGAACTCTATTTAGTAGCTATAGACAAAAAATTATTAAAATCGGAAGAAGATATTTGAGGAGGTTCCATCGTTATCAATAGCAATACCAATTTTTCTCACATGAGTTACAAAAGAAGACTAATCGAATTACATTGAAAATATTGCTCAAGTTACTTTCGCATCTTCATCTTTTCTTTATTCTTATTTTCGTCTATTCATAAAAATTTAATAACTTGACAACAAGACCATCAAATTGTGATTGAATTCATATTATTCTTTTTTTATCTTTAACAGTTAAATATATAAGACGATCAGCATAAAATTTAAAATCATGTCAACATATTGTACGATAGCATAAAAATGTATGAATTTCTCCTAAATGATTATGACATATTTCTTCATTTATACTATTCTCTTCTGTCTCTAGATTATCAACTAAATGATTAATAGTATTTTCTACTTTAGTCATTTATGAAAGGAATTCAACAACAAGAAAAAAAAAAGATGAATTTCCAATTTGCTGGCATAAATAAATTTTCAAAGGAATTCTTTTTTAAGTAGGGGTGTGAATTTATTGTTATTGTTATTAATAACAATAACAAAAAAGTTATTGTTATCAATAACAAATAAGTTATTGTTATCAATAACAAATAACAAAAAAAGTTATTGTTATTAATAACAATAACAAAAAAAGTTATTTGTTATTAATAACAAAAAAAATAAGAAATAACTTTTTTTTTCGAAAAATTTTAGTTATGCTTTGTTACTATGTAACAGTATACCAGTTCTGTTTGCTCATTATTGTCGGATTGCTCGATGATGTTACTGACCGCAATCTCCGTTAGATAGCCTATGAAACTGAGAAAAATCCTAAAAAGATCTTTTCAAGTATCTTGCTCATCTATAGGCAAAATTTACTGATCGCTTTACGAGGAACGATTCTTCAATGCTCAATTGTCTTTGACTTGATGCGTTGGTCAAATATAGGCCTTAGGGAAATGAGAAAATGTCTAGAAAGATTGTACAGATCATAACTCGAAAAATGGCACCTAGAATCTCATTTCGCAAAGACTTTTATTTGACCAAAACATCAAGTCAAAGGCAATCGAACATTGAGGAATCGTTTCTCGTAAACCAATTAGTAAATTTTACCTGTAGGTGAGCAAGATACTTGAAAAGATCTTTTTAGAATTTTTCTCAGTTTCATAGGCTATCTAACGGAGATTGCGGTCAGTAACATCATCGAGCAATTGGACAATAATGAGCAAATAGAACTGGTATACTTTTACATAGTAACAAAGCATAACTAAGATTTTTCGAAAAAAAAAGTTTTTTGTTATTTTTTTGTTATTAATAACAAATAACTTTTTTTGTTATTGTTATTAATAACAATAACTTTTTTTGTTATTTGTTATTGATAACAATAACTTTTTTTGTTATTGTTATTGTTATTAATAACAAAAAATAACAATAACTTCTCACCCCTATTTTTAAGTTCCTAAGTACGAAAAACTAAACGTCTTAATGCAATAAGGATATTAATTGATGAACCGAGTAGTGAACATTTTACATGTGCTGGCATATCATCTTTACCTTCATCTAAATGATTATAAGAATTATCTTCCAGTACAAGTTTATTAAATATTGTTTCCCTGCAAACATGTACATCATATACAGCATTATCACCAATCGATAATGATACACTTGTATGTTGAATAAATCAATTCATTAAACCAATTTCAATTTGTTTTATTTCAGCTATTTGTTGTAAAATGTCATTTGTTAGCTACTAAATAAAAACCACGGTTTTTTTAGTGATAATCTTAGAAATTTTTGATAATTTGCCATCGACAACTTAAAGATAAACTGGGAGAATTTCACTTAGAAAAAACATCTTTCATATACATATCAAGATGATCATAACTGAATAAAACAAAAATTTTATCAGTGTTTGAGTGTCATTTATAAATCATTAAAACAGTTCACAAAGTTCGTTGATCAGTAAACACACGTACAATCGAATCGAAATCAGTAACTACAAAAACTTTCAATAAAATAAACAAAAAAGATTAATAAAGTATTACTTGAACAATCTTTTGGATTTTCAAAATCTTTATAAAAATATTACTTTAATATATCACGTAATAGCATATGTATGCATTGGCAACATTTGAAATTTCAGTTGGTTTTATTTTCATTGTTGTTAATAATGCGATATGAACTACTTTTATCTATAAAAAATATATTTATTTAATTAAAATTATTTATATTATCCATTGAATTGTAAAACAATAAGATGCATTCTATTTTAACTTATATATTAAAATCTATTTAATATATTTGTCTGTCTCTATAGATTTTTTATAATTAAAATTATTTTTTCTACGCAAAAATAAATTAATAAACTTTCGAGTATTTGTATTTCCTAACCAAGAGGTTTGCCATAAAATGAGAACAAAAGAGGCCAATCGATAGAGAATTTCAAGTTTTGTCAGTTTCTACAAAACGTTTTTGCTTTTGATACTGACCTTTATCTTCAAAACCTCATCACTTTTCGGGTTTGCATAGGTGTGAGTCAAGAGGGAAAAACCGAGACTTCAAGTACTTTACTCGTGCTTTAGAAATACTTGAAGTCTTGTTTTTTCTCCCCTTTTCCACCTATCATAGTCCAGACCCTATACTCACACACCCATGCTTGCACTCACACCTACTTTCAGCTCATACCCACGATACCCGCATGGATATTCCTTCCATTTCCGACTGCTTCTGGACATTCTTGAGTTTAATGACAAAAATGAAGGAATTTTGTTAAAATCGAATAGGACTTGTTGACACGTCAATTTTTGTTTGTTTCTGTCGATCAATGGCTATGAGAATTCGATTCACTTTAATAGTTCTTTTTTATAGATGGTGATTTATATAGACAAAAGAATAATTACTTCACATCGATATACACACACAATTTCTCATCGCCAAGGTGAAACCTATCAAAATCTTGCTTTGTAATGTTTTCGTGGTTGGAGAGCCAAAAGGTAACGAAAAAAGTCACTTTTTCACAGTTAGTTGGCTTTTCCCACAAGCGTATATTGATTTGAATCAATGAAGCATAACTTTTTCATCACGTAGATGGTTTTCTTTGAAAGTGATAATCATATAAAAATTGTCGAAAGCTTCTTGATAAATAAATGAAAATTTTCATATTTTTTATTTGATCTTTCAATTTATCAATAACTCTGTTGACAACTCAAACTTAATTAACTGCATCGGAATAACATATGGCTAATGTGCTTTAAGAAGTTTCAGATATGTCGAGAGATTGATAATGAAATTATCCAAAGCCTAGTGCGATATTGAATTTTATATATGTATCTCGTTTATTGTTTAACTCCTGAATTCGTCAGGTTTAAGTTAACAAATAAACATCTTGCTTCATTTCCTCAAGAGAAGAAATTTCAGCAACAATTGCTTTCTATTGAATCGTATTGGAATTGATGAAGTTTTTATCATATTTTCATCTCATCATCGTCATAGAATTTAGTTACACCTAAATGACAAAGAACAAGCGAAAAGTAACTAGAATCAAGAATTTTCATGAGATAAAAACTTCTATGCTACTTGGTGCGGCAGATGATCATACCAAAGCTCTTCTCCTCCGTCTGGACATATTATTTTATAATTTATTCCAAAATGACTGAGTGTTTCACATTTACATCAACTTAGCAGAGAACGCCATTGAACTTCTCCATATAAAACCAGAACTTCAATGTGGGTTTATAAAAAATAAAAATGAGTGAAACAGGAGAAACATCTCTTGGGAACTATTTTGCAATAAAATTAACTGATGAAGAACGAGATGCATTAAAAGGACTAAAACTAGACAATTTATTAGTCATATTAAAAATTGATTATATGAATAAAATAACTCAAATTTTGCAAGACCCTAATAAGTAAAGTAGGATGAAAAAGAAGAAAAATGCATCCAACTAGACCGCTCAAATTATTGAAAGATAAGCAAAGAATATGATGATTTAATTGTTTCGGATAGCTCGATATCAGTGCTCTATTATACAGTGAAGGTAAATAAACCCAATTCTTCAGTAAAGCCAATAATTGCAAAGTATAATGCTCGAAATTATAAACTTTTAGCACTTCTTGATAATATGATAAACAAGTAAGAGAAAGAAAGTCATTCATATGTTAAAGATTCCTTTCAATTTCTCAATACTATGGGGTTCTCTTTGTGTGGATGCCGAAATGCGAAATCGAAGTCAAAAGCTGTCAATAATACATCCATGATGTTGATGAAGAATACTCCAATAACGGGCTTTGAGCGTCTGATGAAGAATCTTGTAGAAAGAACGAGCTGCAGCTATCACTGTTCCTTCTTAACAATGAGTGTGCACAAGGTCTTAGGTTCGTTTTCGATGATTTGACTTTTTAAGAGATTCATTGTGAGATATCGATCCAAGACACAAACTTCTTTGCTCTGGATCGCATATGGGTAAGTGTCAATAATTGAAAATATGTTTTACAACATGAATAATGCAATTCTGATGAAGAAGTGAATACCTAGTTTGGGACTCTTATAGATAATTTTTGCAGCAAGTCATTTCTTGAGTACGAAATCTGTTTTCACCATGAAGTTGTACATCTTCGATGGATCTTCCTACTTTTATGACTCAACGCTCCTTCTATTTCATTTCTCGGGAGAAAAACTCATCTGAGAACTACGATTTTCAGCGAAGGTACCTATCTATAAACTGTAGCTGCAATAAATATTTCACACCTCTATCTTACTGGAATCACCAGTTATAAAGCACCAAAGCTACCTAAAATGTAAATTTTCGCCCATACTACTCGAGTCAGAGAAAATACAGCACTTGATGCTTTAAATTAATAGTTTTATTCTGAGGGAAATTCATAAATATAAATATATCTAGAAAAAATTCCACCTCAACTAGTCAAACCCTTCTACAAGTATCCTCTCCACAAGTCCTCTATTTTTTTGCTCTTTATTGACACAGACTTCCATAAAGAATTCATTAAAATACGAGAGTTCAATATTTTCTCAAACAGCATGCTTTGAAATTCATCTTGTTGGAAAAAACTCAAAGCTGACATGTGCATGAAGGATATAGAAAAATAAAGAAAACTATATGAAAGATACAATCACCAGTAGAATATCTTCTGTGACTCAAATGAAGAGTCCTTGCTACTTGGATACAAACCATTTCTATACTTATTAAATAGGCTGTTTTTCATTCTATTTGAATCCATAAAAGAATTTCTGGTTCCCGCTGAATTTAAGATAAAACAGAGCATGGACATCTATATGAGGGCGAATGGCAAAAATTTATATATATAAATATGGTTTTGCAGAGCAAAATTCGATCTATCGAATTAAAGATTCTTGAAGATATATTGAGCGTTTACGTCATAACTTTTCAGATACAAGCCAGAATTCAGATATGATGTTCCAAGTCCAAGTGCAGATACACTGTTTCCAGTGCCTCAATTACACTATTGTAATAAAAACACATCAATCAGATGACAATGAAAGATTAAGAACGAATGAGAAGGCATAAAGACGACACAGCAGATACCAATAATTGATGAACGTATGTGATGGCCTATGAAGCATATATTTCAAACAATCTTATTATATCAAAGTAATAATACTTGATGCTTCTTTTCTATAGAAGTTATCTCAACAGATTAACACAACAACATGATTTTTACACTAACTCGACGTGTTACATATGAGTATTTCAAAAAAGAAATTTTTCCTTTGAAATGCTATGTTGTTGTAATTTAAGCATAAGAAGCAGTTTATCTACACGTCTGGTGATAAACTTGGAGCATCGTATCTCAATTAGATAGACTCATGAAAATAAATCCTTATGGGATTTCTCTAGTCGGATCAAGCCATACTTATGGCTAAAAGTCAATTCTTACTTGAGCTTGTACTATTCCATTCTCGCTCTAGCTGAAAGTTTAGCTCTGAAATATGGCTCTCTCATAAGATGTACTATGCATAAAATACAGAAAAATTACATCTTACTTGTAAACTTTTTTTTTTCTAAAATGAAATATATAAAAAATATCAAACCCAGTATATATTCACAGTAAAAATACTAAGCCAAAAGGATTTATCCTTGATTAAATATGAATAGCACAAAAAATATGTCTTCTGGCGATAATGCTTTTAGAAAAACTTGAAAATCTCAAGAACAGAACAATATTTTTTCGAATGATTTACATAAAAATTCATTAAACACAGACAAAAACTAGTTAAATCAGTGCAGTGATTTTGAGAAAACTGATATGTAAAGTATCTATAATAGTATATATCCATCTCACATGATGCTATCTACAGGCAAATTTTCATTGAAATTCTTGATACCCATTGAATCCATGGTCTGTTTTATTCAGAGTCTTCTCTTTCGTGCAATGACCTCTAGGTAGTCGAATCGAATAAGATATATTTCAACTTTGAAACAAGAGTAAAGTAGAATTTCTAATTTCTGGCATGGAACAAAATAAAATGTTCGAACAAATAGCAATAATATTTATTTTATTCAAAAAGAAAAAAAACTAAACTATTGAAGAAATTATTGAAGAATGAAAGACATAAAATATAATACTGGTATATTTAAAAAACGCTGGATTAAAATAATAATTTATATTTTGTTTATCACTATTGTAGATGTCCATAAAGCATCTGCAAACAAAGAAAACTATATAATGACTTCTGGATGTATGATAGAAAATGTTACAACATCAATTAATCAAATACTTTACCTGTATATTATTCACTATGAAGAGAAACAAAAGAATACATAAACGTAAATAAAATAATCTCTTTGATTTAATTACGTTTTAAGGGATCGAAAAAAATTCATCGATGAGACTTGTGAAGTATCAGGAGTGATTGATGTGCGATGTGTATCCGCTATTATTGAATCTCGTCGAAGACCTTGTCTTGACTGATCACTAGGACCGATTGTTTCATCAGCTATTTGGTTACAAAAAAAAAAGTCATTTTCTTTAATTAAATAAATTACAAATATACTTGATTCCTCTGCATCGAGACGACGTAGTTCAGGCAGTTTAATACGTGCACCTCCCATTATTTTCATACCATCCATTAAACAACGAAGATATTCTAATACATTATCTTGCTAAACACATATATATATTTTAATGTAAGACAAAGAATAATGAAAAGTATTACTTGATTACTAATCATTTTTACTCGAGTCTCAAGTATTTGTATTTTCTTGTTTATTGAATCTTGTGGTGTTTGTCTAAACATATAAAAATATATATTAGAAAGAAAAAAAAGAATTGCTTTTTTGAACTATCAACTTACACTCGTTCTTCATCAAGATCATGTTCTTCAGTGAATTTTCCTGCACTCTTAATACAACTATGATAAACTTCATCACCAAATGCATCTTCAATTGTTTCAATATTACTAGCAAATCTTTCTTCTAGCATAATTGCTGTAACGAAGAAAAAAAAGAAACAAGATTTAAATCAAAACGAAAAAAAAAAGGTTTTTCTTACCATATGTTGTTTGTTTTAAATGTTGATCATGTTTTTCTCTAATCCATGATGATTTGGAACATAATGATAAAGTAGTTAATATCAATCGCCAAAGATGAGCAACAAAAATAAATGGAGGTGGTATTGATGGTCGAGATAAATATTCACATATTAATGAATATCGTTGAAATTTCCATATTCGGTCTGTATCATTTTGAAGACGATCGAAGGTATTACTAGAAAATGAATAATTGGAAATTACATAGATTTCATCTGTCTTACGCCACGAGATAAATAAAAACCAGATATGTCAAGCATCGAAATGAGTTTTTCAGAAATCTTAGTTATTCTCTTCAAACTAAACGATGAGCTATGTCAATTTTAACAATGAGCAACATTATCTCTGTCTATTTAAAATTCTGTTTCATGCGTAACGAACAATAGACGTCAATAAACCGCCGAATCTTAGAAGTACCAAGGTACTGCGGGCAAACTTGTGATATGCATTGAAATGAAGCATTTAAACTCTTTCTAATAATGACATATACACGAATATTGGTGAAATATTAGTATATCATCAGAGAAATTAAATAATTATAATCAAGAACTATTTCTATGTGATTAATAGTTTAGAATTTTTCAATACCTAACTTATCACATAGAATGAATTGTTTCTAAAGTATGTTCAGCTAACAATGTGTGTGATATAAGAAGTTGTGGATCTTTTCTCACTTAATCTAGGTCTACTAAAACGTGAACATACAACTTCCTAGTGAACCATTTACGATTTCACAGCCTTTCTATATGAACATTTTGGGAACTACAATTTCGCTCAATACCTGAACATTGCAATAAGTAGATTAACCAAAAGTATACTAGCAATAGCCATATAAGTAACAAGTAAAATAAATACAGCATTACCAGTTGCACGATAATTGTCTGAATGAAGAAGAATTTATTCTTTCAAGAATATTCTTGTTTTCTTACTTTCAAATTTAGATAATATATCTAGTTCTCCAAATATTTGCCAATAAGACAAATGTAGAAGTTCACGTGGTAAATGCCAACTAAATTCTTTTGTACCATAAATAAGACTATGAGATGATACACCAAATCCCAAAATAAATACAATTAGCAAAACCATATAAAATTTCAAATCATTCATCTTAGAAAAATTTTCAAAAGAAAAAAAAAGAAAATTAACCAAAGAATTCAAATAATCAATTTTTTCTTACCATTTCACCAATCATAACAAGTTTAGGACCGAGTCTTTTAATAGCTGCAAATATATCTAATGAACGTATATACCATATTGCTATATCAATTGACCAAACGATACGTGCTGCACAAAAACATTCCGTTAATGGCAAACATCGAAGTATAAAACCAACATAAAAAAGTATTATAGCTAGAACATCTAATTGGTTCCAAAAAACTTCAAAATATTGTACTATTGCATTACGAGTCGTTTGTGCTTCCGATGAAAAGAGCTATAAAAAATCTAACATAAAAAAAATAAAAACAAGTCATATTTATATAACTTGTCGCATTTCTTCACAAAGTAATGTTGTAACCCAAACAAGAAGTATATATTCTGTAATAGCTGGATGATTACGTTTTTGCAATCCATATGGAATTGTTGTGTTAGTTTTAGATTCAGTATTTATCATTGATGGACTTTTATCATCATCCTTTTCTTGTTTTTCAGAATCAATTGTTGGTCTACATACATCCGTTTCAAATTCGTATAGAGGAAAAACACCACATAATACCACATAAGAAAAAAGTAATAAAAAGATCAGATGAAAATACTATAAGAAAAGAATATGAACAATTTTTTTGTATAACAAATAAAAATATTCAAATTAAACACATACTAAATTATATAGATATTTAACATATGGAGAACGCATAAATTTTAAAATATTGTCAAAATATAGATACATTGGTCTTATTATGCTTAATATAAGAAAAAAAACAAAATCACTATGTAATTAATATTAGCAATCTTACGCTAAAGTTTATTAAATATTTCAAGCGTTAGTATGCGTCAATTATTATGTTTTGATTTACTTTTCGTAACGGCCAACAGCAACGAATTCAACAGGAGTATTATTATCCATATCTGTAACACCATGAATTAATTTCGTTTGAGTACTATCTCTTGTACTAGAGAAATAATAAGAAGAGAAAAAAAATTGAATGTATTAATATCATATTTTTATATCGAAAAAAAAATGTTTTCTTGTTCTCAATGTTAAAAATGATCATTATTTTAGTTTTGAAAGTAAAATAGAATTAGAATTTTTATTTATTCGATGATAATGAATAAAATTTAAAAGAATTCTATTTCATTTGTCTGTCGAATAATGTAATTTTATCAGATATGAATTTTCCTGGTAATATCACGATTTTCAGACTTATTTTTGGACAACTGGTTTTTCAGTTTCTTTGAGAGTTGTAACATTTTCTTTATACTATTACATTAACTATTTTTCGAAGTATATTTCACTGTATTTAAATTTTACAGAAGTGCAATTTCAGCCAAATACCCATCTAGATACACCCTATGTCCCACGCAGACTTATTAAGAATGGCTCATCACAGTTCGGTACAAACGATGTTGAGAATATGTTGTATGTCAAAACAGATAGAAGAAAAAGCGATCTTCTTATGATGGATAAAAGCAGCTACAACGTGTTTCTCATTTCAAATCCATCGAGATTATACAAACATCCTTTCTCTAGTGACTCGTCTATAATCGCTATGGTGGATCAAGAGCTAAAATAATCATACAATACAATGAAAAAATTATGAAACAAGAAAATTTCATATCTCAAATCTTCTTAATTAATATTAATTTTTCTATTATAAGTTCTTAAAGGTAATATGAAGTTCTCGTTTTTTTCTCTTACATCTATAAAGAAAAAAAAAATCTATTTAAAACATAATACTTTTCCTGAACACGCAGTGCTTTTGTTGTGTGAGTTCGTGGTGATAAACTTGATTTACTTAGTAAATCCTAGATATTTAAAACATAATATAAGAAAATAAAAAGTAAATCAACGAAAAAGAATACATCTAGAAATCTTGTTTCATCATTGAATTTAACTAATTCATCATGATAATAAAGAAAACCACTATACCAAAGCATAAATGTTGAAAAAATAATCTTCTTTTCACTTTCTCGTTGGTCAATATATCCATACCTAAATTAAAATATCGAACATTTAACAAAAAAAACTTTAAATTTCAATATACCAAATATTATTGAGTACATCTTGTACTGCTCGTTGAGCAAAAAATTGTTTAGCTTCAGCTTTTGCAGCTAATTCTAACCATGTAACATTACCATAGGCTGGTATTTGTCGTATAACGGCTTTTATACATGTACGAGGATCGGCTCTATAAAATCGATTAAGAATATGAACAGCTAAAGCTTCGAAGTCATTAGCTCTTTGCTCAAAATTAATATCATTTTCTTTTTCAGCACGTTTTCTATAAATTAATGTAGCAATTAATGCAGCACCTAAAAGTATATTTTTTTTGTACATATGAATATGTATATATATAATAGAAAGGAAAGATTACTTACAGATTTTATTTTTGCTACGAGACCAAAATAGTAGATTAAATTCAAATTTGCCTGTTATCACAGACCAAAGAAAAAGTTCTTTGTCAACGTCCAAAAGACTAGTGGAACCACCTAGAATAGGTTTAATTACGAAAAAAAATGTTAGCATTAGATATAAAACATTCCTGGGAGCAATTCTCTTTTATTGAATATTGTCTCATTTCTATCATAAGCACAGTCCTAAATAAGTGTCCATCCAATCCAAAATTTTTCGGTTTCAAACCCGATTATGAGAAATATTTCATTATAACTATTCTTGATAATATTGCGCTAATGCTTTGAATGTATGCATGTGACAATAAACTTTGATCACAAGCATCAACTCGCCCTTCATTGACTCACATTCACTAGACTTATCATTCAGACATCTTCTTTCTCTCGTGCGATTACTTTATCTCAACCATGTTCGCAGAAATATTTTCATTAAACTCCTCCTGTGAAAGATCCCTGTTGTATGGCCATTGAAGAACAAATGATAATTTTTTAGTAAGATGAATCTTTTCCACGATGACTTGTTTGACCTGCTCGATTATCCTGAAGGCAATACGCTATCAAGCCTGTTAAAAAAAAAGGTTCAGCTCAATGTGCTTCTATTCTAAGTTTTTGATAATACTTTATCAGAGGTTGAAAAATGAGTGAAATAGCATCATTAGTTAAATTGCTTATATGAACAACTCCGTGAAAAAACGCTGAATCACTTTAAATAATAATGCTGTTTCTAAAAAGAAGGCACTTTTCCGAGATAAACATATAAGTATAATTCCTAAGATAGCATTCTTCAATGGAAAGGCTAATATCTAAATCCATAGAAACATTATAAATGCAACGGCAATTATCGCCAGCGATGGAACCGTTACTAGTTATCGACGTGTCTTATTAAGTTTTATGCTTTTAGCATCTCATAAAGGATGTGTAATATCAATTTGGTTTACTCAGACCAAAATCGATGCGATTGATGAAACTGGAAGGTCAGTTGATAAGATTCAGTGTCAACTTTTACTTGATATATAATATAATTATATTGGATGTTTATATCAGAAAATTCTTTCTGTAAATACACGAAAAAAAAAACTGTTCGCACGTTTTTCTCGTCGTAGAGTTTTGCATAAGGTGTCGAATTTTAAACAAATGTTTTTCTTTTTGATACTGTTCGCTCTAGATGTTGTCTCTTGAAGATGCGCGAAAGGAATTTTGTATTCGATCCTTAATATCACATCAATAATGAATTTTCTAGAAAACTTTGTCATAAATTTTAAGGCTTTGAGAATTCCAAAAATGCAATAAAATTTTCAATATTATATTCCTTATTCGAATGAAAGTTCTATTCTACATTATTGTCTATCCACTCTGTCGAAGTAAAGTGTATACTAAATTCTAATGCTTTTATAAAAAGACTTAGAGAGATTCTCGACAATCATGTTTGTCGTTCATATTTTTGAAAGTTTCACGAAATAAGAATCAATTAATAATGAAATTCTATAAATTGCAACAGAGTAAAACAACTGACTTTCTAAAGGTAAACTTCCAGTAAGTTGATTAAGTGTTCTAGCAGTATCATTTTGGCTTCTCGATGATGTCGTACAACATACATATTCTTCATGATTAATATCGAGATTTACACCAGTATGAGCACGAGATACTTGTGATCGTAAAGCAACATCAACTTTAAAAAAATCGCCTATTAATGGTTGCAGTACTATTTTATAGATTGTTCGTAATGGATTATTAGATTTTGATATCTTTTCAAAATGTTCCTATAAAGATAAAAGAAAAACACTAATAATTAATATATAATTTAATAAATTAATTATACTTTGCTCATGCTACTTTTATAAAGTAATGAAAGTTTGTCATTATTTCGAAATAAATCAGTTAATGAAAAATCATGATCAAGAAATAATTTCACAAATGCTGTTTGACTTCTATTAAGTGCTAATTCAAATAAATCATTTAAATTTGTACTCTAATTAGAAATAAGAATAAAAAGATATTTTAATTTAAATTAAAAAGAAATTATTTATTTTTCTTACTGCCCAATCTCGATCATGTTGCATAATTTCATTTTTTACAATATCAACACGATTCCATTCCAAAGCTAATTGAAATTGTTCACGTTTTCGTTCATAATTTGTTTTATGTGCATCAGAACCTGACGTAGCTTTAAGAAAAGAAAACAAAAAACAAAAAACAAAAAAATTTCTTTTCAGAAAAAACAAAATTTCATATTCTTCATTCGTTCTTTTTTACCTCTCAATAAAGCTCTTAAAATAGCTAAATCAATATCAGGCTCAACTGGACTTTGTGAATTAAGACTAACAATATTTAAAAATTTTCGTCGAGTAGTAATACATTCATAAACTAATGCAAAATAATCAGGTGAATCAATATCCTGGTTTTTAGTTTCCATTGTAGTCGTTGAATTTTTTGATGCTTTTTTATCACTACTGATAGTTGGTGGATTACTTACACCACCAATGGCATAAAGTTCTGCTTTAAGTGCTTCACGAAGTTGATTTTTTAATCCGTCACGACGTGATAAAAGAGCTGCTACATTCGAACTAAATGATTAAAAAGAATTCATTTACATATATATATAGACATGTGTATCCTATCTTGAAATAATAATGGGAGACAATGTTATTTCTACTCTTCTAGAATTCATTTTCTTTTTTTTTTTATTAAATTATTTTTGTAGTAAATACAGCTAAGGAAAGCCAACGAGACAGAGATATTTTCATTTTTAAAAACGTTTCATCGAGATACGAATAAGATCGTCTCGAAGCTAGTTCCAGTTCTGTCAAGACCAATGACATATAGGCATTACTCAAGTATTCTAAATAGATATGGGCAAGATTGTCCCTGTTTCAGCAGAATAGAAACCAGAAGTGACTGGTTCCGTACATGTCTAATTTTATCATAACTGAAGATAAATTCTTACCTGAAAGTAAAAAAAGCTCTGTTTGTTTCTCATTATGAAACCAAAATTTATTAATAGTTTAGAGATATTTTTTGTAGCTATTGAAACACTATCTGTAGTATATGATTGATCTTAATAAAAACGAATTCATATAATGATATAACAACATTATATAGTACAATAAATCCTTTATATAAAAAATATAGAATATTACTATCAAATATGATTTCCCTTTTTAGTTTTATCTATTCTATGCGTCTATAAATCAAAACTTAGACAATTAACAAAGAAATAGCTACAATCTTAGTTGATACAATTTGGCATGAAAGTTTCTATTTATAAATGTATCGAATTAATGATAAAAAAATTTTCAGGACTGCACAATGACAAATAGAATTAGATGTGAAAACTATTTCTAAGATTGTCAAGTCTATGCTGAATACATGTCTATTTCAATTATTCCATCTATGTGTAACTTGAAATCGTTTGAGTTTAGAAAAAAAAAGTGACTTATTTACGATGAAATTTCTTCGTCGCCTTCCAAGTTTTTTTCATATTCTGCATAGAGATGGACTGCTTTAGCAAATAAATCACAACAACGACCTGTTCCTTCAAAAAACACAGCTGGTATATTATTTTCAACAACAGCTTCATGCACTATAGAAAAAGAAAAAAAGAAAAATGAGTTTTCGTATTTTATTTTTCGAAAAAGTAACATTTTTTTTTACCTGTTCGAACAGTATTTGGACCACCTTCAACAACAAGAAGGACAACAGGTACTGGATCTATAACAATATAAATGTAGTTATGTAAAAGATAATATTTCATATCAACCTGATTGTTCTGGACGAAAAGATGGTGTTGTTGTTGTTGAAGTTGACATGTCTGCAGTAGAAGTTGTCCTGGATCGTGCTCCAAAAAAATCTCCTGATATAGCTCGTTCAAGACGAGCACGAAATGTTATTTCACGACCAAATTGTCCTTCACTTCCATCATCAATAAAAATAAATTTCGTATGATTAGGTTCAAGAGGAGCTGTGTTTTTTTCTTCAATAGTCGGTTTAGTATACTCTACAGTTTTTCCACGATCATTAAGTTTATCACGACCGGCTACACAACCCCAAGTAGCAATGCCCTATTATAAATATATGGATTTATAATATATAATTAATTTCGAAAGATTTCATTTACAAATAAATGAATTCGACGACAACGACTAGGATTCATTTCAACAATTTCACCAACAAGTTTCATGATTCCCGTATTCATACCTCCAGTAATAATCCAAGCACCTTAAAACCAAAAAAAAAAAGAAAACAAATTTAATCTTTTAGAATACTAAGTAAACGGAAGCATTTTATAATTGAGGATATTTTTTTTTTATGAAGTCAAGCACTTAGTTCAAATTTAGGTAGTGATTTTAATAGTCAATGAAATTTTTTATCTAATGTATTCTCTAGCAAGATTTCTAAAAAACTTAGACCTGTTACTGTTTAAGTTCTATGGAGACTATGTTTTTTAAGAATGTCATTTTAAAGAACGTACAAAACGAAAGGTTGCCTATTTTTCTATGACCTTCATTTAAAAAACTACGAATATCATAAAAATCAAAACGTCGTGTGTTTTTTTTTATCGTTTTTGTCATACTGTAAAATTTTAAAAGAAAAAATCATAGAAAACATGTCTATCATTCATTTTGTGCTCTTTAAACTAACATTGTTAGAAAAATAGTTTTCGAGATATGAAAACTAAGATGTCTAGTTCTTTTGAAAATTTACCATCAAAATTAGTTCATCTATGAAATCTTGCTATAGAATACATTAGATAGAAAACTCGATTGATTTATGGCAGATGTTTTTACTAGCATTATCCTTGCTTGTGCTAGAAATATGCGATGTAAGCTTGTTTTTTTCCGTATTATGGTTGAGAAAAATTTTCTAACGTTCACTCTACCTTATCCTGTGGTAGGATAACCCTGTACATCTCTAACTTCTTCGTCTTATTCTCTCTTTATTTGTATTCAGAGTTTAAATAAAGTGAGAATCAGGGTATAATGTCCCGGGCAAGGACAAACGTTCAAAGAGGTCATAGTGACCTATGATTGTAAACAATAATATTTGATAAAGCCAATTAAAAACAATATCTCACAGTAGTAGATTTAGAGGAAATGATTGTCCTTTCCTTTCAAAATATGTTTCGATTTTGGTCAGTAATAAATGCTGAAAACTAAGCTGATATAATCTCTAATGGACTTCAAAACATGTTTTATTGATCATGATTTCTTTGTCTTGAAATCCGAAATTCACCAATGATATCTCATTCTTATTTTAGTTGAAATTTTTTATCATGTTCAAATTTAATATTTAATCTTAATCAAAAGAAAAGCAATGATATAAAGAAAACAAGATTATGTAATATGGATCATGATTTTACTATTATTCTAATGATTACTCGCTTCCTTTTTCACTTTCAGTCTCATCACGGAACAATTTATACTCCTCTCCTTTATAAATGTTGACATTATTTGAACTAAAATTTTCGTTCACTCAAGCTAGCAATAATTTTGATTGTGATCTCAATGAGTAGTGATAGAGGCAATATTTTAGCTCGGAATAGGCACATGATGAGTTAAACTCATCGTTACCATCGTCACTAACCGTGAGTTATGTTACTAAACATAAATCTTTGAAAGTTATTTAAAATAAAAATTATTTAATTTCATTACCTGTTGTGCTTGCCACTTTGAGAAGACCACGTCGAAATGCTCTCAATAATTTCGGTTTCATATCATAATCTTTTGCACCACCTGTAACCGAAATAACAAGTGATGGTCGCTAGAAAATAAAATCAACCATTAAACAACTTAAATTTTTTCTTCTTTCAGAACAATACAACATACTTCATGACACCATTTTGTATTAATGTATTTTTTAACCTCCGAAACGGGAGCTTCAGGTGGTATACGAATAAATTCTGCTCGATTTGATTTATTATCCGTAACTTAAACAAAACAAAAAAAAAAAAGAATAGAAACATTCTTCTCATTTATTATTTAGATGGGTTTATTCGTCACAGTGATAGCTTTACAAGACAAAAGTACTGAAGTCGATTGTTAAAGCTGAATGATTTTAAAAAAAAGACTAGAACCGAAAATCGATCTGGGATCGGAACCATTAAATTATCAGATAGATACAAACATGCTGAAGTCTATGTGGAGAAATCGTCATTTTTTGAGATTCAAAGATTTCAGTCATTTCAAAATCGGTTTTAAGTTTTTCATATTTATCTAAGGATTCAACGGTTTTGGTTTCACGTAATTGTAGGAACCAACCGAACTCTATAGATCGATATTTCTTTCCGAAATAGTTTTAGATTTTCCTTACAAGGAAAGATCGCGAATTAATCCAAGCCGTTTTCAATGTTATTTTATACATATTTCGAGAACAGGACTCTAGGAAAAATCCTAAGAGGATTTGTGCTAATAAAGCTTCTTTAAAAATTTATGACTATTTTATTCGTTTTTCGACTTAGCGCCAGATATTTACAAAAATGTTGAAAAACAGAAGTTCAATCTGAAAAAAACGTGTCCGATTTTATCTGAGTCATTCGATAGTCTCGTTGAGTTCTCTACATGCGCAAAGTTTCAGGTCATAATTTATTAGTTTCCCGACAAGCTGAGACCTCTAGGAAGAAATTCGATAGCTTAATCAAATTTCCATAGGAATCTAAAACTATTTCAAATTCTAACTAAAACACTATGTAATATCTATCAGCAAAAAATCATTGAAATTCGAAGGAGGTAGCTGTAGAGATTACCGCGTAAGCTGAATGACTAGTACAATGACTATAACTTTTGAAAAAAGTTTCATCAGTTCAAATTCTCTTAAGATTATTTCTAGAATAATGTTTCCGAAGTATGTATAAAATAATATTGGAAATCTTTCCTCGTTAGTAGATAAAAATTCAAAAATGAGTCGATATGATCTTCAATGGACTTCAAAACATATTTTGTTGATCATGATCGTTTTCTCCTTCTTCAAATTTTCGATTGGCCATTAATTCGTCTTACAAGTAATTGTTCCATAAGATTTAGCACCAATCGAATTGATTAACTACGTAAAAAGAAAATACAAGACTAGAGAAGATTTTTTAAAGATCTTTCTCTTACTTGATTACTTGCTCGAGTATGCTCTTCAGGTACCAAAGTTGATACAATTTTATTGACACTGTCTGAAACGAAGTTGTGTAGCGATAGTTGTCTTAGATTTGCGTCGTTTACGTTGTTCATATTGATATAAATTATAGGTTTTGTTTGTTTTCGGATTCGCTTCGCTGATCTAAAGATTATTAATGATTCATCATATTTAAACGAGGTAGGTAAAATAATCAACCAACCAATTAATCCTATTGATACATAAACACGAATCACAATCGATTCATATGATTCATTCTACGGATGCAAAAAGAGAAAAGACGAAACGTTTGTTTTTCATCATAATATTTCTTTCATCTGTTTTTATATAGTAATAATGAGTTCATCAACAACAAAAAAATTTCGTGAATTTATGGCTGAACCACTTGGTGATAAAAATATTCGAGATGTTCCTGGTATAGGTGATGTACTTGGTGCAAAATTATCTGAAGCTGGCTATGAAAAAGTTTATTTATATATATATAAAATTCTTATTGAATTAAAATAATTGTTTTTTTCTTTAGGCATATACTTTATTTGGTAAATATTTATTATGTCATAAAGATATTGAAGCATTTCAAGAATGGATTCAAACACAATGTGGAGCAAATAGTCATCAAGCAAAAACAGCTGCACAAGCATTATCCGAATGGGCTGAAGCATTTATTTGAGAACATTTTTTTGTTTCTTCTTGTCTTTTATATTATAAATAAAAAAAAAAACCAAACAGATTTATGGATTTATTTTAATTTTCGTATCTAATTCTAGACTATTTTTTTTTTGAATATCATGTCATCAACAACATCACAAAAATTCCGAGATTTTACTGGTGAACCATTAAAAGATAAACATGTTAGTGAAGTACCTGGTTTAGGACCAAAATTAGCAAGTAATTTAGAAGAATCTGGTATATCAAAAGTATGTTTATAATAGATACAGAAATAATTGAATACTTTACATAAAGACAGATCTTGATGAGAACAAGTTTTAGATTTTTTGATTGTATTTGTTCGGCAATAATAACATCGGAATTCACTGTTATATATCAGTACTATGAAATTTGAAACTCTATTTTTAGCACTTTTGTTCGAATTCTTTTCATGAAAATGATAGTTGATGAATTTCTTTTTTTACAAAAAAAAAATGATTTCCAGACGATGAAACTCTATAATCACTGCAGTCATTTATTTGAATATCATGAAATTGAATAAAGATTTCTGATTGTTATCAATTGTGAAATGTAAACGATTAACCTTACTTTAATCGAATGATTGAAATGTCGAAAATTAAAGTGTAGATTGATAAAAAAAAATATATCGTAAAATACAAATGTTAATTCAAGCTTGAAAGATAATATATTTATTTATTATTTTGTAGGCTTATGAATTATTGGGTATTTATTTAACATTATTAAAAAATAAAGATTATTTTGAACTTTGGATTCGTGATAATGCTGGTGCTAATCGTCATCAAGCTAAACAATGTGCCGATGCTATTGATGCATTTTGTTCACAATTTCTTTAATAAACTAATTCTCTTTATTTTAAAATGTCTATTATATAAATATATTTACTTAAATAAACATGAAACTATTGTCTATTTTTCTTTTTTTTTTAAATTATTTTTAATGATAAAATTTTTGTAGATTTGATATGAAATATTTGATTATTTATTTTATTCTTATAATAATTATAATTAATCGTAAGAAAAATTATATAAAAGAATATATTTATGAAAATATTCATATGTTTCTTTTTTTAGTTTCATATTCATTAAATTGTTTTGTATGTGATTCAAAAGAAGATGAACATTGTCCAGAAACATGGACACGTAAAGATATACTTCCTGTTGAATGTGAAGGACCTGATGGTGTACAAAATGCTCGATTTTGTATAAAGACTATTGCTGTTTTTGGAGGTTTGATTCTTACTAATACAAGAATTTTGCTAAAAGACTACTAAAATGAATGAGAGCTTAAAAAGAATTTGTTAGAAACTCGACGAATTGACATAATTTGTTTTCTATTATTGAAGGTGCTGTAGCAACAAAACGTTTTTGTACATCACGTCATATGGATAATCAATGTATTGAAGTAAAATATCCTCAAGATGAAAAAATGTATTATTCATGTACATATACATGTTCAAGTGATGGTTGTAATCGAACATATCGTTTATATTTATCAAGAATAATTTTTCTATTTTTTCTTTCAATGCAGATTTTTTTTTCAACATTCTAATTTAATAGATCTGATATTTTTTTTTGTATATTTGTTATGAAAGAACATAGAGATTTAATTTTGTAGTTTTTACTTATTTTTAATGAATAAAATATTTATTTAATGAATTAGTTATTAATAGAATGAATCGAATTCTTATGATTATTATATTGTATTTATTGATTAACTAAATGAATACCGAAGAATATTTGTTGTTGAATGTTATCGTCTGATGATAATAATCGATATAATTATTAGCCTATAATAACAAATATTGATGCTGAATATGCAATAAAATCAATAGATAATGATTCTATACAGCAATCATTTATTATTCAATAGGTAATTAATTTTACAGATATTGATTAAAAGTTTTTTGAATCCTATTTGACATTTTCTGATGCAAAAACAAGATAATTGATCTTTTACTAACAAGTGGTCATAGAATGTATACTGAAGGAGAAACATTTGATCGATTAAAATTATCTGATGTTTTTTGTTTTTTGACATTTGATTTAAAATCAATAAATCTATGATTAATTAATATTAATTTTAATCTTACTGATGATAAACCTAGTTATAAAACTATCATTGAAAAAAAAAACAAGCTTTTATAACAACATTTGATGAAAATAAAACACATTAATTTCTTTTTGAATATCAAAATGTTGAAATAACATAAAATTTTCATTTATCAATTGAAAATTATAATATTATAAATAGTTTTGAATATGAATTAATTTTAGAGTATAATTTTCTTAAGCTGATACTTTGTGAGAGAGAGAAAGTACAAAAATTATCATTGATCTTCATGGAATATTAATTAATTAATATCAATAGAAAACTTTTTCTCGCTTGTTTTTTCTTTATTTCAATACACAACTGAACAATAAAACTTGTTCAAAGAACAAAAAAAAAAAGAAGAAGAACGTTTTCTTTTGTAACAAAAATTTAAAGACTAGTTTTCATCGTTTAAAGCCGGTATTGTATCCATTTCATTATCCTGATGAAATACACTTCGAAAGATAGCCGACTTAAAAAGAAAAATAATAATAATAAAAGTATATAAATTGAAATATAAACTTTATAATCTAACATACCTTATTCAGATCATCTTCCGATGCATCAGTAGGTTCTAAAACAAAAAAAAACGAAGAAGGAGATTTAAATTGAATCTTATTGACTGATGACAATTGTTGCTAAACAATATAGCAAACTTTAAATATAGAATTAGCTGCTTATAGAAAAAGTCATAGTTGATTTGTCCAAATATTATCCGTTTTGTAATCTTTTTCTAGAGCTGTGTAAGTATGAACTTTTATGAGTAAACTTTTAAATAAGATTGACATTGAAAGAAATTAGTCATCTGCTACAGAGATGGACAAAGTCGCACCGCGCCTCCCCGCGCCGTTGCTCACGCCTACGCTACACTAGTCTGAGCTTCGATGAGCGCATGCTTAGAGCATCCCGGTATTCGATGGAGTTTGAGAAACTGATTGGTAGAGCAAAGAGAAAGAGAGATGTGCGTAGCGCCTAGGCGCGAGCAGTGGCGCGGGGAGGCGCGGTGCGATTTTGTCCATCTCTGATTTTCTAGAACTTCGAAACGTAAAAATAAGTACCGAGAATCACTTTCTAGCTCTCAAAATATTTTAGTTTTCTTTATGATTAAAACAAGCTAGTAATGATATCCGATAACGTTGTAAAGCCTTATTCATAACACTTTCCTATTAATAATTTGTGTCAGACTCGTACACTTTTTGTTAATGAGATTAAAAAGAAAATATGAATATATGTAACTAAAATAATTGAATAAATAAAAATTTACCTTCATCATTTTGAATTTTCTTTTCTGTATTTGTATCTAATTGAATATTTATTGGTATTGATTGTATTTGTTCAGTTGTATTTGAAGTTTGTGGTTGAATTTTTTGAAAAATTGTTGGTTTATTTGGATCATAAACATCTTCATCATCATCATCAAGATTTTCAATAGTTGAACTTTCAATATTTGGATCATGTTGAAATGATGTACCAGATACTTGTTGTTGTCGTGATGGTATATATTCTGTTGTTGATTGTTTTTCATTAATTATTTGTTCATTTGATAAATTATCTATTGAATTTTCATTCATAATACGTTCATTAGGTGCACGAATTGATGGTTGTAATGGATCATATGGTAAATCACGTTCTGGATCATAACGAGATAATTCTTCTTGCTGAAAAACAAAAAAGAAAAATTTGATTTTTAACAAAAAAAAAAAGAAAATCTCTTACGCGTTTTTGTTCTTGATATGCAATTAATTTTTGATTATAAAATTTATAAACAAAATCTGCCATTTGTGGCATATTTTCCATTATAAGTGCTTGATGTACAATGGATTGATCACGTTTTTCCTATAAAACGATAAAAAAAAAAAAACAAAATCATCTTTTTCATTCTTATTTATTTTCTAAACAAACCTCTCGCATGCTTGGATAGATTTCATTTGGTAATAAATATAATTTAATTGGACGTTTTGTTAATATATTAAAAGCTGGTGTTAATTCAAAACAACTAAATTCAAATGAAAAATAGTTTTTTTTTTTATTTTTATGCTTACGAGGGAACATTCCCAAGTGAGACCCGCCGTTTCAGCTCATATTGTGCCCAAAAGTAGATCTCGGTAAGACTAGAGAAAGTCTAAAAGGGTTCGTACCATTGCGCCTTTGGAGCCGAGTTATGCCTAATTTACTGAATTTTCGGCCCTTTTTAGGGTACTGATCGAAAAATCAAATTACGAAGTTTCCATCTGAAATTCCTAACATAGATAGATATAGTTACACCTAGAATATCCTGGAAGTTTCAGCCGAATAGAACGTTCCTTTGTCGAGTTAT